GAGCACCAAGTGTCCTTAACTGCTGATCCATCTTTTTTTAAGTATTATACAACTGTGTGTGTGTGTGTGTGTGTGTGTGTGTGTGTGTGTGTGTGTGTGGTGTATGTGGGCATGTGCTTGCCATGGTGCACCTACTGGGGTCAGAGGACAACTTTGTGAGTTTGTCTTTCCTTCCACCTTTACGTGGGCCCCTCGGTTCAAGCTCAAATGGTCACACTTGTCCAGAAATGCTCTATCCATTGCATCATCTCCCTGGCTTTGACCTTGAACTAACCCTCATGTTTCTATCTTCCAAGTGCTGGGATCACAGTCATTTGCTCCTATGGCCAGCTCCAGGGTTTGGGTTTGGTATTCTAAAGATGTCTACAAAGTGTTCCAGGGCTGATGTACATAAAAGCCAGACTTCCTTGCCACAGTCTCCACATTCCCTGGACCTCCCAGTGATGACCGCCCCTCCTACAGTCTCCACACTCCCTGGACGTCCCAGTGATGACCTCCCCTCCTACAGTCTCCACACTCCCTGGACGTCCCAGTGATGACCTCCCCTCCTACAGTCTCCACTCCCTGGACATCCCAGTGATGCCAGACACTACCTTCCTCAGATGCCATAGTGACCAACCTCCCAACCCTTCTTCCTTCTGGTCAGTTCTGAAAGTGCTGATCAGCAGATGTGTGAGGCTTTAAGATGTTCCAGCACAAAGAGGCTTTCCCTAAAGCTGTCTGGTTGCCTTCTTCTATTGCTGCCCACTTTGAAGAGCTCATCTTTCCTAAAATGTCAGTAACGCCCCCAGAGAGCTTATCGAGGTGGACGATGTAGGCCACGTTAACACAGCCTACATCATGCCAGCAGCCTCGGGCTGGCCTCCCTCACTCCAGTCTGCTGCACGCTAACACATTCCTTGTAAGCTTTCCCGAGCACCTCTGGTGCTCACTCAGGGCCAGGCACCGCTCTCGGCTACAGCAAGGCTGCTCTAGGCAAAGCCACAGCTGTGGTGATGCCCAGTGGTTGAGAGCTCAGCCTTTGGAGAGAGGCAACTCGGCCCTTTCCAGAAGTCACTGCCCCTCGATACACTTCCATTTCTTTATTTGTGAAGTCGGAACAATAAAGGTGCACAATTCTCGGGGCTACAGGAAAAGTTAACTGGGATCTGAGTTTGGGAGGTCCAGTCCAGTGACAGAGTGCTTGCCGAGCATGTTCGAGGCCTGGGTGCAATCCTCAGCCTCTCTGTAACTAAAGAAGAAAAGGTAAGCATGAGAATACATGGAAAGCACCCAGCATGGTGCCTGGCAAACAGGAAGCACTCGGTGCCAACGCAGTAATAAAGGGAAGGACCAGGTAAGTGGCAGAAAGAGGCCTGTGCGGTCCAGCAGGGGTGAGAACGAGCACATGCCAGGTTCTGGCTGAGCTACATGGAGCCAGCCTGGAAGATCAGGGTGGGTGGGATTCCTCAGAGGAGGGGACAGATCCTGCAGCTTGCTAACCTGAGCAAAGGCATCATATCAAAGAAGAGAGAGCTTGTGTGTGAGCCACAGCTGCCTGTGGGCTGCTTCATGCCAATCCTGCCTGGCAGACCACGAACGAGCTCCTAAGAGAAACACTTTAGCCTTGGACCCAAGAGTCATTCACTGACTCAGCAGCCGAGCACCAACTAGACACTAGACAGTGTGTGAGACACGACTGGGGGCCTGGCCTGCCCTCCAGAAACTTCTACCTAACAGGGCATCACAACAGGAACACTCACACGCAACGTGCTAGGGAGACAGACACAAAGAGGATCTCATGGAGGAGTGTGACTCGGGGGTGGAGGCCAGAGGAAGCTATTCTTCAGGAGATACAAATGAGTCAAGAGGAGGTCAAGCTAGAACAGTGTCCCAGAAAGAGGACAAATTCCTGAGCTGTGAGGGAGCCTATCGTACCAAAAAAACACAAAGCAAGCCAGAGTCAGAGTGCGTGGTGAGAGAGAGGAGGAGTCCAGGGAGGGTGGGCAAAGCCTTGATCATGTCAAACCTTGGTAAGCCATGGCAGAGTTTGGATTTTATTCTAAAAGGCACCAGGAAGCCACTGACAGGTTCCAAGTGAGGACATGCCATGGCCTGGCTTGCAGCTCTAAACCCCCGCTGGCCGGACCGTGGAGAACAGCTGTAGAGTCAGTCAGAAGTGCAGGGCAGGAGTCCGGCCCTGAGAACACAGTCTAGACTCATGGTGTGGGGATGTGACATCTGGAAGCCCTCTGCTTCCATCAAGTCACTCCCTCTGCAGGTCCAGCTCTCTCAAGGTGGCACACAGGAGGTTTGGTCACGAAGGTCACTGCCCATCGGTTAACCGTGTCTCCTCCGGGCCATCCCCATCTCCTCCCCCTTCCAGCCCCCATTCTCTTTCCCTCCCTAAATCTCAACGTCCTCTGTCTAGTGCCTGACTTCACGAGGACCCGCTGTCCCTCTTTCTTTCTCCGCTCCATGACCCACAAAGTGTCTTAGCTTTGTGTAAAGAGCATGCTTACTGTCTGTCCAGAACACAAACCACAGACCACTAACAGAAACCTGAGGGGACAGGCACTTCATAAAACCTGCACACACTGTGCATGTTAGACACAGGGTCTCCTCACATCCCAGCCCCATCGCCCACAGCACCAGAGACATCTCTCAACAGAGAAAATCTCGTCAGGACCTCGCCGTGTGTCTCCGGAGCCCTCTCAGGTCTCACCTCCCCTCATTGGCTTCCAGCTCACCAATGACTGCTCCTGGTCCTCACACAAATATCAATTCCTCAGTGGGGCCACAGTGTCCCGCTACGTTATAGACCCGGAAGGCAACTCAGCATCTCCTCACTGCTCCCTGTGGTTCTCCCACACTGTCCTTGGAGAACATGCCCCGTATCTGCCACAGGACTTCTGCACATCCTGTTCTCTGTGTCCAAGTTCTTTGACCCCTCCCCCCTTCCTTCAGTTATATTCATTCTTCAGACCTTTGGCCCAATTTTCTTCTTAGAAAGATCTCTTGGGGTCTGAGTCATGTACGGTCTCAGAGGACTGTCTGAGAAGCTGTCGGAGCACCCGAGTTTATAATAACACATTTCCTTTGTGCACATTGTTTGAGACAGGGTCTCATCGCCTAGTCTATTTTAACCCCAAAAAGATGTTCCTCCTGCCTCAGGCTCCTGGCATTAGGACTACAGTATTTGTGTGACATGAAGAAGGCTCCGTGGGTGAAAGCCGCACAGCATGAAGACCTGAATTCAGACCCTGCTCCCATGTAAGAAGCCAGCATGGCAGTGCTTGTCTGGGCCCCCAGCACTGGAGGGAGGGCAGGGGAGGCGTGAGTGGGGTGGGCACAGACAAGCAGATCCCAAGGGCTCACTGGCCAGCTGAAATGGCAAGCTCCAGGTGCAGTGCAAGAATGCGTCTCAATAAATAAAGGTAGCCAGGCGGTGGTGGCACATGCCTTTAATCCCAGCACTCGAGAGACAGAGCCAGGCGGATCTCTGTGAGTTCGAGGCCAGCCTGGTCTACAGAGTGAGATCCAGGATAGGCACCAAAGCTGCACAGAAAAACCCTGTCTTGGAAAAAAAAATCCTAAATAAATAAAGGTAGAATGATAGACACCAGATATCCAACTCTGGCCAACACACACATAGACACACACAGACACAGATCACACACACATACACATACACACACACACACACACACACCTCTTACTTTAGGCTGGGGATATGGCTCAGCGGTAGAGGGTTTTCCTAGCAAGTTAGGAGGCAGTCCATCCCCAGCACCACCAAAGGCAAAACAAAAAAAGCTAATTCTCCTTCCCCACCAGCTGGGACAGGCAAGACCGTGGCCTCTTTCTGCTCCCTGTCTCCCAAATGGAAGTTGACTATACCATAGCATGTCATGAGATCAGAGATGGAAAGATCCCCCCAAAATCTTAGATCTATTTATTGTGACTGGCGAGCAGATTGTTGCCTGGAGGAGAGGTAGGGGAGTGTCACACCCATCTTGCTACACTCAGGAAGTTCTCCCTGCCTCTTCCCAGACCTCACTCCCGATGTCAACGTGTGCGGCATTTGCTTCCAAGTCACCCTTCCTGAAACAGGTCTTGTCTTGGTTCTCTTCCCTCCTTCAAACCCTCTTTCCAGGGCAGCAATCACACCTGATCGGGGTTTAAGAAAGTGGTGGGGCAGGGCGAGAATCCACAGAGCTACTACTCAGGCAACAAACCGACAGAGCCCTTAAAACAGCCCTGTGAAGTAACCCGTACAAAGACTACTATTTTATTTATTTCCATTTTAATAGATGAGGAAACCGAGGTTCAAAGAGGCAAGCAGGCTTGCGCAAAAGGTCACGAAGCCTATGAGAAGCAGACTGGGATTTGAACCCACAGACTCTTAATATAACCTAGTCCAACGCTTCCTAATATTAGCCGCCCCTGCAGTTCTAGTATCAACTACTTAAGGTTGGTGTCGTTCCTGACCCCTCCCCGCTTCCCCGGTCCATGGGCATCCCTACCCAGAACTTATCAGCTGTCTGGGCAGCAGGGTGGAGATGCACAAAGCCGGCCACCTTCTCAGGAGCTGTTCCCAGCCTCCCGGGCTTTGCAAGGCTTCCTCTGAGCCACTGAGGAACCAGAATAAAAAACACAATGACCCGCGAAGGTCCCCGGCCACCCTCTCGTCCACCTACGGTAGGAGGAGGCAAGGCCAGAAGCCGGCGTCTGCCGCCAAAGGGGACCCGCGGACAGAGGTCACTGCTCCGGGACACCGGGCAGCAGGCGACGCAGGGGATGCGGCGGTGCCGGCGGCGGCTCCGGGCTCGGCCCAAGG